TGCAAATTATTCGCAATTTTTGTTTTAGGTTTTTCAAGGAATGATGAATATAGTGGTAAAGAGATACCATATTTATAATAGTTAGGGACGATATACATTTAGGTTACGTGTAAGGAAAAATATTTAGACGATTTTAAAAAATATCTCTTTCGAGGAATAAGGAATATTTCTTGAATATATTTTAAATTAGTTAGGAAGTTTAACAGTTAATGGTAATCCAACTACGGTAAGCTACCAAAATTTATGGAATCCAACCAAAAATAACTAACCACGATATTGATTGTGGTTAATCTATAAACTTGCAGATGAAACAACGTATTTATTTTAGTATTTGCAATATTTTCTTAACAAAACGTATCTCGTCCATTAAATTTCACCTTGAGAATGATGTCATTCTATAGATTTGATATCACTATATGTCGTCTAACTATGGTTTATAAATACGGATAAATTTAGTGAGACATGATTTGGACATTTCATATATGAAGAAAAAACATGAAATGAATGACATTTGGATGGATTCTCCATCCTCAAATGTCTTGAAGTGGAGAAAAAAACATGAATGAAGGACATTTGGATGGATTCTCCATTCTCAAATGTCTTAAAATGGTTTTGAGGTAGAGAACTCATGAAAATGTCGATATACACAATATATTAATCAATACTATTAAAATGGGATGAAACGTAAACCTACTTTAATGACATATATTGATGCATTAGTAACATTCACTTTATATTACAAAATATTACTATATGTAATATAAAGTGTAGTAGAAGTTTATAAAGTATAGTCTTCGAAATATAAGGTGTAGTACAACTATATGAAAATCTTAATATATGAAATATAGCATCATAACATGGTTAGAGTGATATGAGTTTGTAAAGTATAGTCTTTGAAATATAAGATGTAGTACAACTATATGAAAATATTAATATATGAAATATAACATCATATCATGGTTAGAGTAATATGAGTTTATAAAGTCGATATGATGCATATACCAAAAAATGTAAAACAAAAAATTATAATGTTGGAAATCTATTGATTGAAATCGTGTAATATAAGGTGTACAACACAATATAAATGTATGAAATATAGAATGAAATATGGTTAGAGTAACTAATAGAAAAATTTGATCTAGTTTGTTATAGCTTTCTATCTGAAACAGCCTAAATTTAACTAAAGCATACCGTACTTATCTATTTTTTTTTGCAAAATAATTAAAAATTAATTATTATGATTTTTTTAACGCTGGATAATATGCTATTACAAATATGAGAATTATTACAGATTAACTATTAATGATTTTTTTAACGCTGGATAATAATGCTATTACAACTATGAGAAATATTACGACGATTTTACAGCCGATAATTCTACCTGCCCTATGAAGATTCACCTGGGATTGCATCACCTGAGCCACCCTATGGGATCCACGCTTGACGGTAATCCTTATGCCATGCTGCAAATCTCTTGTAAGTTTTTTCTCCCTTAATTCATAATTTTGTCTTCTCCGGGAATTGAAACCCATACCTCCTCGTGTAGAATCATTAATAAACCCTTGGTCAAACCACTGGACCAGGGTGGCTTTCACCAACTATTAATGATTGCAATTAAACATTTTCAAACTCTAAAATTGTAATTTTAAATTTCATAAAATTTAGAATGTTACCCAAAAAAGAATTAAAATTATAAACAAAATTTATTACAACTAATACATAAAGAAAAGTATAGGAAACCGAACACATGACGTGTTTTAGGGAGAGCTACATTGTGGAATTATTATCTGCGTAATTACTCATCAAGATTGTAAATGTTGTAGGTAGTTGATCATCATATGTAATAGAATTTAAAATTATATGTTGATATATTTGTTGTTAGTGCTAAAAAAACATGAAATCATAATTTTAGATATTCATGTTTTGAGGTCAAGTATAGATCAGTTATTATCGGGTTGGTTTTTCAAAGTCTGAATCTATTTAGGTTGGTTCTTCTCGGTTTCAGTTCTTTCCGGTAGAAGAATTTCTGACCCATTTAAATACATGTAATTTTTTTTGTTTGATTTTGTTTTAGGTATTTTATGTTGGTTCCGGTTTGCATCCGATTAGGTAAAACTGCTTATGCCTAAATTTAGACTCCTTAAAGTATAAGCATTAATGAACACTCACACAAATCACTAATTTAATGGGCTTCTACATAAAAACATTTGACTAAACTCGCTAAATAATATCCGCCAGTAACATTCGTAACGACGTGCAAGCCCATTGATGATTCTAGGGTTTAGATGAATACGTATGTTGAGATGGAACAAAACTAGGTTGCACGAAACTTAATCGGACGTCCGCTTTCTGCTTTGGAATCGGAACCTTGTGGAAGCTTACGGAATTTCGCTCCCATAACGCTTCTAAAATAACTTAAATAAAAACACAGTGGAAGCTCATGATTCCATTTTGGAATCACGCTTCCATTTTAAAAGAACATGATGTTATAAACAAATTAAAAATATAAAATCATATTTTTATATAAAATCTAAAATTTAATAATATTGAAATGAAAAGAATAGAAATATGCAAATACTAAAACTGAATCTATTAGATATCTTATACACTGTGTTTTATTAAAGATATCATATATATTCAAATATATTCTGTTAATTATTAATAAAATATATAAAAAAAATTGGATAACATTTTTATAAATTTATTTTTTTGTATTTTCACAATTACAATATGAAATCATTTTAAATTATAGTAAATAAATAAATGCTTTATTTTACTTAGAATCATATATTTTTTACTTATAACTTTTATCAAATCCTCTTATATATATATAATTAGATATATTCTTCAAACACGTTTTCACTTTCTAAATTTTTAAAATTCTGCTTATGCGATTCCATATGGTTCCGCTTCCGCGCACCCGGACAAGCATTAGTTTCTATGTAACATATACTGACTAGGATGAGACCTGTGCCTTGCACGGGATGAGACATGTGTAAAAATGATAAAATTAAGATACTAAATCGTAGGTGTTTATTATGATATGAATAATATAGTGTAAAGTAAACACAACTGATAATTTAATTATAATATTTCAGTTTTCAAAAATATATAGATGTATATATATAACTGAAAGATATATAGTAAATAGAAGTGAAAAAGTTATGTAGTATCAAACCAAACGTTTACGAATAACTTTATTTACTGGATTTTACTCGTGCACGGCTGAGCTAAAAATAACAAAATATTTACTGATTATAAATAGTTTATTTTAGGGATGATAAATGAGGTAAAACCGAATCGCGGACCCAAATAGAAAAAAAGGTTTGGATTTGGTAATACTGAATAAACCAAATGTAATTAATTTTATGAAATCGCGGTATATGGATATGATTTGAAACCAATTAATTAAAATAAATTAGTATACTTATATGCAAATTTATAATAAATTAATAATATATACATGAATATTTATTAATATTTTATTCATATTAAAACATATTTTTATTGATAAATATTTGTACTAAAATATAGTTATGTAATAATATTATAATATTAACAATTTTTTATTTTTAATAGTAAAAATGAAAAAATATTATATTTTAAAATTAGATAACGAAATATAACTTATGATTTAATAAAAATGATTTCTGAGCATATAAACTAAAATTTGTCATAAAAAATAAACATAGTTATGATTTTTTGTATACTACCGAGTAAACCAAAAATCGATAGTATAAACCGACCCAAAATAGATATGATAGTGATAGATAATTTTCATAAACCAAAATCTGAATCCGTGTATTTACATCTCCTTTGGTTTACATCTCCTTTGGTTTCTTTGTAACCAGAAAAATGTATGATAAAGGGTGGTATAAGTCAGATTTGTGTGAAGGATTTGACAACTAAGAAATTAACAGGTATTTAAAAAAAATATGATTCACCTTGTCTCTGTACTGTCATCTCGTTTTCTCGTTTTGCGATTGTTCATGTTGATCCTGAATGGAAAAGGTGAACACAACTTGTTAGATTTCTATGGACATCCCACATAACACATTAGTTTAGCTCATTTTTTTCAATAGACTTAAATGACGTACAGGTTTTTGGCTAATTATTCGTTAGATTTCATAATTTTGCGTGGTCTCACCCTCTTAGTGTATATATTAGGAAGTGGAGAATGTAATTTAGGTAACTATATACAACTAACAGAGCTAAATCCTCCTTAAATATATACAATATTTATGATTATAATATTTGGGTGGTCTCATCCTCTTAGTGCATATATTACGAAGTCATCAATTTAATTTAGGTCAATATTTACAACTAACAGAGAGCTAAATCCTCCTTAAATAAATACAATATTTATGAGTAATATATTTGCAGTATCAATGCAACTATATAAAAGAAATTTAACAGAAGTTATTTTTCTTATTTTGGAAAAGGGCAATGTATAAAAGAAGTTTTCCAATATTGATTTCTAATATCATGATTTATAAAAACGTATTTTCTTGTTTAATTTATCATAAATTCATTGAGGGATAGGTACAGAGTATATGCAAAAAAGGAAAATTAATCATATTATGAAAGGGTGTGAAAGGTATGTCTGTCCTATTATATTAGGTGATGATTCGTATCATCACGTCATATAGGTTGGCATGGTAAATCCCCTTAGTATTCTACAATAAAGATGTGATCATTAACAATGCAGGAATATAAGCAAATAAATATTAGCAGGAAAACTAAACTACTCTAACCAAGGTGACAACGTAAAATAAAGAAAACAAACAATACCATCAGCTAAATAGCAAGAGACATCAAGAAAACAAACACACCGATTATGTCTGAGATCTATTCAAACCTGCAAATGACGACAGAAACATTAAATACAATCCAAGAGCACACCTCTGAAAAAAACGATTTGTATTGTTGTGACTTAGTGTGGGAGTCTTTGTACTCCTGAGAATGAAAGCATTTAGTTGATGCCCAATTGTTTCCTTTGATTACTGGATGACACCCTGAAAACAATCAATCAAAGGTACATCTCATCAAACTAATTCAAAAGGGTAAAATAAAACTACGAATTAAGAAAAGACAATGTGTTTTGTCTCTCACAATGCAAACTGGAAGGGTATTGAGACAGTCAGGCCTCTTGTTCCAGAAAAGTACAGCGTCTCCCTTCTTTGGTGGACCAGATAGTCCTCCACTGGACTTAGGGACAGTGACATATCTATTGCAAGGAGAAAGTGTTGTCATTGTTAAAACAACAAAGTATTTGCAAGCCGCTGAAAAGTGTTAAAACTTGACATAATCTGATAGCATTGCAGCTAACCATACAGTTTCAAAAGAAAAGGCACCAAATTTGAATATAAAAAATTTTCATTAGTAGAACTCAGTGTCCAATCAACGAAAACATAAAGCTGTACCTGAAGCTCATCTTGTCCCCATGCATACTTTTCATAAGAGCTCCAAGAATGAATCATTTCTCTTTTACTCTCTGCATGCTCTGGGAATCAACGGGATCTTCCTGAACATCCTTCAGTGTACTATTCACAGACGCATCCTCCGAGACAACGCTTTTCACATCTTCTAACTATCAAAAATATATGATAAATATGAGAGTGTAGCCAAAAAATAAAATACTAAAAGTTTCTCAACATCGAATAAGCTCTTTAGTTAGGTGTTATATGGTCTTACCAACAGCTGCAACCGCATAACTTCTTCATTTAACTTGGAAAATTCAAGCTGCAAAACACAAAACATAAGCTACATTCAATAAATATTATGGTCTTGGTATGATCAATTCAAAGCAGACTCTCTAGGATTTATATCCTTCATGAACTACTTACACTCAAATTCGATCTATTGAGCATATGGTGCTTGAGAGCTATCTCTCCTCACGTTACACAAGACCTAAACTGAGATTCAGAGAGAGAAAGAGTGTGAACCTGGTAATCACGGGAGAGAGATTGACGATCCCAAAGGACCATGGAAACAGAGAGGAAGAAAAGAAGAGCAAGACACCTAAGCCTTCTGAGATAATAAGCTGGGTTGAAATATTGATAATGTTTATTAATACAGAGAAAAGGATTGTGTAGATCGATCAACAGACCTCTTATGAGGCTCCAATCGAAAGGTGAAAGATCGGAAGAGCGTACAGATCTGGGAGGTAAAGAGGAGGCGCCGCCATGGTCTCAGGAAAGCGCGAAGGAGGCTGGGTTCGAAGATCTCTGCGTCGGAGAAAAGAGCCTCCTTCCTGTTACTCGCACATCTATCTTGCTCAATGGAGGAATCTAAGCTTCTCAGGAAGAAGAATATAGGTGCGTCCTTCCAATCACCTGGATCAGAGAAGAATCGTGAGCTTCTCGATGCAATTAAGTAAAAGGCAGAGAGAGACAGAGAGTCAATTTTCTACTAAAATATACCCTTTGTATACACTTACAAATATAATGCAATTACTTTGTATTAAAACAGTCAGTCCAATGGCAATTTTCGTAAATTGTCTAGATGGAGATGGGCATTTTTAAAGATGGTCCGAGGAGCTCTATCTATCTGACACGTCGTCATAATGGCACATAGGTAAATATAGTACAATTTAAAGGTTTTTTTTTTATTTGCTTCCCTTTTAATAATAAGGGGATTTGTTTGAATGACGTTACATCTCTCATCTTGAGCATCGGACAAGCAAGCCATTTAGATCAAATTCATGAGTCTCAAGGAGAAATAAACTTTTTGTTATTCTCTCATCTTTTTGTTAGATCAAGCAAACCAAAAGCCCTTTCTCAAAAACAAAAATAAAAACAAAAACAAAAACAAAAAACACAAGAAACAAACCCTTCATTTGGTTCTTGGAAAGATAAGGAAAGGAACTTCTTGATAATCTAGAGAGTGCGTTCACGAACGAGCCTGTTGTAGTGTTGTTATCTAGAGAGGCCAGCACATCGTAGAATTTAAACCTCAGGTGCTTAATTCAGGATTTGTTTGCTCGGAATTAGCATTGTAACCATCCTTTAAATGTGAATTTGGTTTGCCGGGAGTGAGGCAAAGGAAAGGTGGTGGAGCATTTGATAGCAACAATGAGGAGCAGTAGCCGGGAGGAGACTGGATCAATTATGTTGTGCATTGGTGATGACCGGTCTGATGAAGACATGTTTGAAGTATAGTGATCACCAAGATGTTTCTCCTATTGCGTATACAAGAGGTCTTTGCGTGCACGTTGAGTCAGAAACCGAACAAAGCCTTTTCATGCACGTTAAAAATACACTAAATGTTTTCATTAATATGCGTGAACGGTTGGGACGATGAACAATAGAAAAAGCTCACTTTTCAACACGGACACCGTCGAAACGTATAGCAAAGCTTTTGTATTCGATGAAACTCAGATATTACAACTATATGTACATGAACAAACAATTAAACCACAGTGAGTACATGAAACATCATAACTAACCACTATAAACCGGACATTCCATAGCCCTTACACAAGTCTAGAACTGTATTCACAACCAATAAAATGGAATATGTTTGAAAGGGTTTGTTTTAGATTTCATGTTGTGATATTAAGAGATCTTGTTATTTGAAAGGTTTAGGTTACAAGAAGAGGGTTATATGCCTTTGTCAAGAGTATCTTAAACTGCTTAATTTGGGTGACTTTGCCTCAATGTGAGATGCTTATACATAGAAAAGGAATTAGATATGTGCTATGAATTTCATTTCAAGTGTGAAGTTTTTAGGTGTTCCATTTTTCTTCGCAAATTACATGACAAATGTCACACTATATATACTAATCAAAGTTGATAAATAGCTTCCACACAGTAGAATGTGATTTGATGGTAATATATGTAAAACAGAATGCACTAGTTCATGGATCATACTTGTCAAGCTCATAAAACTCAATGTTCTTATACTTTTGCGAGATGATCTCAGCTTGAACCTTTCTTGCAGTATCTGTGGCACACCCAACAAGAATCAGAACAGAGGTTCCAGCAAATCCTCTGAATGCAGTCAAGTGAGTGATCTGTTCCACCACAGCAGGACCAGCAGCAAGAACAGCCAGAAACGCTGAACCAAGAACAGATATCCGGCCAAGGACCTGATATTGCAAAATCAGAGCCATGAACTTTCAAGATTTGAAGAATCTGAGGAAGGAGAGAGAGAGAGAGGATCTTACGGTTTTGATGAAGAGAGCAGTGCTTTTACCAGGCCGGACAAGAGGGATGGATGCACCTTGTCGTTTCAATTGTTCACTCACATCGTCCGGGTCAAGTTGCAGGAAAGTATAGTAGTAGTTGAAGAAAGCTATGAGAAGAATATTTGTTGGCAGATAAAACGAACCTACAAGAATCTGTGTGTTAGGTAGGTGTCTATAACATTGGCAAAACAGTTTCAAAGGACTCACCTCCAGGGTTCAAACCATAAGCAACATTCTTGAGAGCAGATATGCCGGTGAATCGCGCTAGAGTAGCAGGAAGAGCAAGAGATGACGTGGAGAATATGATAGGCATCACTCCAGCACTATTGACCTTGAATGGAAGATAAGCAGACTTCTGTAGCCCACCTGCTTTGCTGGTGTATCTAGAGGCATAGTTGAGTGGAATTTTCCTCTCTGCTTCCTGAAACACTTTGCTTTTTAGACTCTAAGCTTCTTAACTTCATTGCAAAGGAACAAAGCTGTAGTTACCTGAACATAGACGATTCCAAGTACCAAAAGAAGGAATGAAACAACAATAGTAGCGAGACCAGTATAGTTTCCTTCTTGTAAGGCCTCTGCTGCTGTTCTACCAAATGATGCAGGCAAGTAAGAGATGATACTCGTGAATATCAAAAGCGAAGTCCCATTCCCAAGTTTCAGATCAGAGATCCTCTCTCCAATATAAGTAGTGAGTACAGAGCCAAGTGTTAACAACGTGACAGAAGAAACAACCCATTCAGTGCTGAAGTCATTCACGTAAGGACGAAGGTAAACCGCTTGTCCAATGGCCTGTACTATAGCAAACCCCACAGAAGCGTAACGAGTGTACTGGAGGATCTTCTTTCTACCTGCTTCGCCTTCTTTCTTCTGAAGATCTTGCAGCTTTGGATAGACTTGAGCGAGAAGCTGAAACACAATCTGGGCGTTGATGAAAGGGACGATACCGAGAGAGCAGATACCGAGTCTACCAATGCCACCACCGGAGAATGTATCCAATGTGGTCAGCAAGCTATTCTGATCCAAGTTGCCAACAAAGGCTTCTCGGTTGACTCCACCGAGTGGTATGTATATTCCAAGGCGAGAGAGTGCTAAGAAGCCAAGAAGCTTTAGGAACTTCCCAGGCAATGGACCTTTGAAGAAATCTCCAAAGTCAATGGAACTATCCTCAATAGCAGCTGAAAAACATTCAAAAGGAGTAAGCATCATAAAACATTCTTAAACCGCGCCACAAGTAAGTGAATGTATGTAAAGCTTAACGGACCTGCCACGCCTCTACCAGAAGAAGGCTTCTCTCTTTTGCTACCAGAGGAGCTTTCAAGTGATGGAGACAAAACACTAAGAATGCTTTCCCAAATGCTGCTCAGACCAGAAGCTTCTTTTGGATTAATGCCCAAAGGATCAAAAGTCGAGACCTCAGAGCTGAACAGAGACACTCTAATCAGCAAACAAATGCACAGTAAATTGAAAGAACATCAACATATAATCAAGTCCTATCGAACCAGACATAGCCTAAGAAACACAAATTTGTCCTAAAAATCATTTTTTTTTCTTTACTTTTCATCCACAAAGCAGAGAACTTTAAGAAGCATTATCAATGGCATGACCAGTATGATAGATTTCAAGTGGAACCTATCAGATATAAAGATTGAAAGTACCTTCTAGAGTTGATAACAAGACCGAGATTCTTGCATGGTTTGGCTTTACAAGTGTCCCTGGGCTTGGTCGGAACGGAGAAGCTTGGTCTGTACAGAGAAGAGCTTCGGAGACTTGAAGATGGTTTGTGGTTGAGACGAGAGAGAGTGGCGAGGTTTGAAGAAGAAGAGTAAGAGGAAACTTGGCTTACCGTTATCATCCTTATCTCTTCCGTCTTCTCCAGACGATCTATTTCTTCATCCTTTTTTTTTCTTAAGTTTATGTTCTTGTTTATGGGCCAGGCCTTGTAAGCCCAGTATATATTTTGCATTCAATCTGGTTTGGAGGTTTAGGACTTTAGTAGGGGTTATTGGTTACAGTATTTTAGTTGATTTAGAAATACATTTTAGATTTAGAAATTGTGATAAATCCATTGATTTTAAAATCAAACAAATAAATTTCAGAATCAAATATACAGATTTCAAAATCAAAATAAGTGGATAATCAAATGGATTTTCACTAAGTTCAGATTTGTAACCAAAATATATATATATTAAAACTACAACATCTGTTTTATCATGCTTTTACTTTGGAGTTTGAAGTGTTTGTACTTGTGTATGTGTTATTAGAGATCTCTATAATATTATTTGAGAAGTCACTTTCTTAGGTGTCGCGCTCACGTTAACTTTCACGATGGTTGATTACTATGATACCCCTAATGAATTAAAAATACAATTAAATATTATTTCCTTTTTAAAAATTTCCAAATAACAATATAAAATAAAAAGGAAATATTTATACAATTTACAAAACTGTTTAAGAACGAAAATATAAGTATATATAATATGGTTTAATAAAAAAGGAAAGTTCACAAAATAGTAATATTTAATTTAAATATATTTTAAATAACATAAAATATACCTCTGAAGTAATAAAATACTTTATATCTATATCTTCTTAGATAAAAAAAAAAAACAATATCTGTATATAATGTGATTTCATAAAATAATTTCACACAAAAAATATTGCTATTAGAAAAAGGAATATTTTTTCTTTAAAAAATAATTTTAAACAATAAAATATATATATTTTCAAAATAATTATTATTGTATATATCTATCTATTTTATTAGATGGTTACATAAAACAATCAACTAACATAAACTGATATATGTTTAATTGAATTTTTTTATAATTAGTATTATTGAAATTATCTTTTTAGTATATTTATTTGACTATAATATCTTACAATTACAGTAAAAATATAAATTATATTTTACTTATATAGTATAATTTCTCAAAAACAATCACTTTTTACTGACTATTTTAAGAGATACAAAAAATAAAACTAAAAATAAATTTAATAATAAACATCTTTTGATTAAGTAACTACAATTATTTTGAAATATCATAACACTATATAATTTAATGAGCTAGATATATTATTTATTAATAGCTAAAATTATATGTTTTAAGAATAAGGATTCTGATTTACGTAAGTATTTTGATTATGGTTATATTAAGTTTCACAAACATAAAAACAGAAAATAACTACAATTATTTTAAAATACCATAACATTATATAATTTAATGAGGTAGATATATTATATTTTAATAGTTAAAATTATCTGTTTTCTTAATAAATCTTTTGAACTTTAATTTTCTGTTTTTATGTTTGTGAAACATAATATAACCATAGTCAAAATACTTAAGAAAATCAGAATCCTTAACCATGGACATAGAATTTATAAAATATTTTAATTATTGTAAATATTGATATGTGTTCAAAAGCTTCTAAAAATTCATTAGTTACTTATGTATGTAATTTAGAATTAGAAACTTTAGTTTTTTTTTCTTCTAAGCACTTATATTTCTAAGATAACAATCAGCATAAATACAAATAAGACAATTAATCAAAAATTTAATATATTTAAATTATAAAAGATAATAGTTGAATTCAGAGAAATAGATAGAATCCAATATATCTAAATGATAACTAAATCGACCGTAAAAATAATAAAACAGACTAAATATAACATATCTAAAATTATATATATAATTAAAGTAATATAATATTATAATATAAATTAGACATACAAACTATAAAGTAAATATCAATCAATTATTATTGTATATTTATTTTATAAATATACACGCCCGTGCATGAGCACGGGAAAATCACCTAGTTATATATAAATGATGAAGGCACATACGATAGAAAGTGGAAAATATTAAATTACTAGGGGAGACCCGCGCTGTGCGCGGGATATGATTATTGCGGGCTGCATAATGCTATTTTCTTCTGAAAATAATGTTTTGATATTTGAGATAAATAAATTTGATTATTTACTTGTACTTTATTGGTTTTTAAAATGTTTTGACTTCGACTATTTAGGATAAATCTATAACATTATTTGAGAAGTAAATTTGCTTAGTTGTCATGTTCTCCATAAGTTTAGGTAATTTTGTTTATTTATCATATTTTTATATATTTTATTTATAAATAAATGAATTTATATAAATATATCATATTTTTAGTAATAAGATAATTCTTGTGAATTATGTTGTTATCTTGAAATATATTTTTATATATAAAACTTAAATTTTAAATTAAGATATAAACACTATTATATTTATCTAAAACAAATTTATATTAATAATTTAATATTTAAATATANAGATAATCATTATGGATTATGTTGTTATTATGAAAACATATTTTCCTATTATAAAACTTAAAATTAAGATATAAAAATTATATTAAAATCCTAATTAAATATAAATCATCAAAAAAATTATTTGAAAAGTGAATTTGTTGATTTGTCTCCATGATCCTAACTAATTTTGATCATTTATCAGAATTTCTATAATTTTTTGCTATTGATTATATAATTAAAACTAATTTATATTAATAATATGATATTTTAGAAAATAATTTAATTCTTATGTATTATGTTGTTATCTTGAAAAAATATTTTCTAATTATAAAATTTATAATTAACATGTAAAAAATCTATAATATTATTTAAAAGTGAATTTGATGTTTGCTGATTTGTCATATTTTCCATGATTTTAGGTAATTTTAATAATTCATCAATTTATATAATTTATTATATATTTGAAACAAATTTTACATTAATAGTATCAGATTCTTAGAAAATAAGATATTGTTTATGTATTAAGTTGTTGTCTTGAATATATATTTTTCTATTAGAAATTTAAAATTATGATATAAAAAGTTGTAGTTATTCTATAATTGAAATAAATTTACACTAATAATATTATACTTTTAAAGAATATAGTAATTCTTATGTATTATGTTGTTATCCTGAAAATAGATTTTTATATTATACAATTTAAAAGTAAAATAGAAAATTATATATTATTAATTAAATATAAATCATCACTCAAGAAAAATTATTTAATATGTGAATTTGCTGATTCATTAAGTTCTTAATAATTTTAGGTAATTTTAATTATATGTCATAATTTTATAATCTTATATAATTATTATAAAGTTAAAAAATTCTCATATTATATTTTTAGAAAATAAATAACTTATGCATTATATTATTATCTTGAAAATATGTGTTTCTAATATAAAATTTAAAATTAAGATATAAATATTATAATTAAATATAAATCAAGAAAATAGTTATAGAAATATATTTTTAAAAATATTTCTGATGTTTGAGTTTTGTCATTGATAATTATTTGATGTTTGATTTTTACTTTTTGAAAACATAAAAAACAACTTACTATGCTGATTTTTAAATTAATGAAACATAACTAATAAATATTCATAAGAGGATAATGCCCGCAAGTGCGGGCAAAACACCTAGTATATATTGTTAATCGTGCATTACTTCAATTGTGATATATAACGAATGATATTTCTGGTGCCCTATTTGTTTCGATAATTTTTTGGGGAATAATAGTTGAATTGTCTTTTAAAAGGTTCTGATGTTGTTTTAATTTTTCTCATATACCCTAAGTGTATAGCTGTAACTGTGTAGCGTAGTTGGCATACTTCCACTCTGGTATAATATAATTCTTATGGCTCGGAAGTATTAAGTATATAATATTTATGTTTGTGAAGAGTATTACAACCATCTTTTGATTATATATATATTTAGTGGTTGAGTTTTCCTAATTTGAGACAAATATTTGGAATTTTTTATGCTTTGCAAACGATATCGGTTGGATAATGTGAACGGTGCATTTTGTAATAACATCCAGTTTTTAGTTTTTTATTTTATGAAGTGATCACAAAGAATGTGTATTATTTTTTGGTTAATTTTTTGTTTGGTTTGGTTAGTTTTTTTTTATTAAGTGTCCGAATGGTGTGATCGTTGATTACGAACGGGCCTTTGTTGTTTCGTAAAATGTTGTTGGGCCGTTACTATTTTTTAAAAAATATAGCAGAGTAATGGACGTTTTGCATGGAGCTCAATATATATAAGACTTAAAAAGTATAGACGTGTTCTTTTTATGTTTGCTTTTGTTTTGGGCTTTCCGATGATCAAACACAGTGACCTCTATATCAGCATGAATCTATTATATTAAAAGAGAAGTCATGACTCATTTCATGTGTGATTTTTTTTATTTGGACCATTAGCAAAAAAACTTTATTAAATATATTTCATTTCTTTGTAACCACTTCAATCATAATATCTTTTGATATCTTTCTATTTTAAATATGTATTAATTCTTTTTAACAAATCTGTTGAAAAGATTTTAGCAAGATCTTAACTTTAAAAACATTATATAAATATTTTACTAATTAATAACTTGTATAATTTCGAATTAGTAATGAAAATAATTATACATTAATATATATATATATATATATATATAATGAAAAAATGTTATTATTTTTATCTATTTCATAATCATAATTATCATATTAAATGAAAATTACTATAATAAAGTGAATGTTATAAAACAATATTAAATTGATAGATTAATCAATTTTGTTTTCAAAAATTGAAATATTAATTTTAAAAATATAAAATATATTGGCAAAATGGATTAAGATTAGTAACTATAAATAAATATATAAAATTAACATATCTTAAACTTTTATAATATCATATTATATATATAAACATAAAAAGTTTGCTAAACGGTAATCTAGCTTTGAAACTCAGATAATAATTTAGTATAAATTAAATATAAACTAATTTTCAAATATGATTTTCATGCATATATTAATATTAATAATTAAATATAAATCCAATAAGATAAGTATATAAAAAGAAACTATTGAAACAACTGATATTAACATACAAGCTATAAAATTATTGTGTTTGTAATAATTATACAAACATTTAAACATATGACTAACGTAATTAATGATATAAAACTAATATATATGTATATAAATATGAAAATAAATCCCGCGCGGTTGCGCGGGTTAAAATCTAGTTGATATTAATTTGAGCGTTTAAATGAAGGATTAGGGACCCTGCAACTCATAAAGCATAAGTTATTATAGAAAATGATACGCCCAAGATAACCAAAAAAACATAACGAACGTAGATCCGCCGGTTATTAGCCACTTGTCAAAAGTTGGAGGAACTTCTGGACTTGTTTGTAAAAAAAACAAACTTCTGCTATTCTTCCTTCTCCCATGTAACTCGCAAGCTGCATACACGTAAACATCTCTGTAGATAAGCTTTCAATTCAAATGTCAACATGGTTAAACCATGAAATATCTATTTTAGGATAGTCACAAATGTTTTTGACTCTTGTCACATGTTTAACTTAAACATGTTCTGAAACTTTTATTGATTTACATGTCTGAGCAAGCTTTTGTTTTAGGTCAGTTTCTGTAATTTTCATAAAACTGAAGCTAAAGCGATAATTAAAGTGTCATTACCACTCCCATTTCCTCTGGGTACATTCCACGATCCCTCATGAGACTCCCCTTCCCAAGCCTTGCACGAAATGTCACCTACTACCAAGAATTTGTGACCCTATTTCAAATTATTTATCCCATACATAATACAAAAACAATAAAGTAAAAAAGATTAATAAGATAAATAACCCGGCCGGCCGGTACATTTGGATCCCCTGTCAACTTCACAGCCTAAACATATTCAAAGAACTCAATATCCAATGAGTCACTTTCATCTCCATCATTCCAGTGGCCATACTTAGTGCCATAAGGTCCGAACGCACCAACATATAGGCCTGCACTTTCAAATACAGAACATATCCTAAGTTGAGTTGTACAAATACATTCTGAACCCATATCAAAAGAAAGAGAACAATACTAATGCAAAATATGACTACCATTAAAAGGGTCTAGTTCGCTTTGAGGAATCACGAATTTTATTAAATGTTGTATACTCAGAGAGCCAATTCCCTTTTTGTGCCTAACTTATCGCAAGCTTGAGAATCTCACGGACATTTCTTGATACCTATAAAAATGATCGAACCATATTTATATCTACGTACGGAGTAAAGTAAATGTTAACAGTAGTAACCTTCGTATATGTCTTTAAAAACTCTAGGAATATTAAACAACAAAATGCTTTGAGCACACAGTAAACCGTTACTAAAACGCATTCAAGAAGGAGAAGAGGGTAATCCCACAAACACTCCAGCGACAAAGAAAACAGCGTATAACTCCACTGCCACCAAAATATAGTCACATATGAATAGAGCACACACTGCTCTAGAGATAATAAATAAACTAATTGCAGACTAATCAAATGAACTAAGAAAATAAAAACCAAACTATCTTCAACTTGTTTCTCCTATAAACCGATCTGCTCGGTTCTGTTCCTCAGGTATTGCAAGGATCTTAGATCATTTGAACAAAACCATTACCAAAATTCAAAATCTTTCTATGATAAATGAGGAGGATTACCTGGGAGGTCTTTTGACCAAAAATCCGTAACTTTCGTATGTAGTCTAGTGTCCGCTGCCACTGCCGATTTGTTAACTTCCACATGTCAACCGTGGCATTAACCGTGGCATCGAGAACTGCTGAGTTGTTGTTGTTTCGATCTTTGGATCCTTTCTGTTGCAATGAAACAATCTGCAAGAAGCCTTCAAGAAGTAAACCATGGCATCGAGAACAGCACATGTTCTTGCGAGCCTGCTCAAAGAGAGCTTTTCCTATCGATTCTCAGAAGCTCCTGCCTAGATTTCGGAGACAGCTCACTCCAGAACTGTGTATAATTTCAACATTCAATTTCATCTATCAAATAACCGAAACTCATCATAAGAATTCAATTTCAACAACCATGTTTTTACCAAATAACTGACACTAATCATAAGAATTCAATACAAAGAATAAGGAGAAATGGAGAGAAGAAAAACCTTGTGAAGCTGAATGTAACTGACGCCATCGACGTCACTGGACCAAAACCCAAAGGAAGAATGATCATCCTGGTGTGCCATATTTTCTCTAAACTCGTCTATATCGTCACCAACCAATGATCCATATAGCACAGACCAGTAAATGACTCAAAGCGAATTCAAAGCTGCACCGAATCGGAAAAATTTTAATCGTGGATAATAAAACAATCGTATGATTGAATTGGGTGAATCCTGATAAACCCGATTACGATGTATTCTACGGATTGAGATGGAGGGAGGGAGGGAAGGAAGCGAATCAAATAAAAAATTGGATTGAATCGGGAAAGAGACGCGATGAAGACGATTACGATGAGATTCGTTCGCAGGGCCTCAATACACACATTAGGCGAGGGAAACGCGTGAGCGAGAGTTGCTGAGTTGTTGTTGTTTCGAGCTTTGGATCCTACGAAATTAAGAGCCCATTACGAAACGATAGAAACAAAACGGAACTTCCACATGTCAAAACCATAATCACCCTATTAGTGACATGTCACTCTAAATTGATAGAAAAGCCTTCTTTATAGTAATAAATAAATATAAATTGGAGACTGGAAAATTTTAAAATAAAATAAAACCTTTCAAACTTTCGAAAAAATAAGAAATGTATGTTGAACATAGTGGTTTTAAATCAAACGTCTTTATGTCAAGTTTTTCTTTTTGTGTGTTTTCATTTTTACATATCGCTATTTTTTAATTTACATAGCAAACATCTCATATCTTTGTTAAATAGTACTTCTTTATAATGGTTAATGGAATATGTTCAAGACGTATGACTTGAGGTAAAAAAGAGACTGGGAACATCAATAATACAAATCTATTGAAATATGGAGATTGGATTCAATATTTGGTCCTTTGTATTTTTATGTTAAAAACACTTACAAATCCACTCAAATCTAATTTTAAATCAAATCCTTAATCAAATCATTATTATTGAATAACACATGATTTTAAAATCTATTTTAAAATCTAAGAACCAATAACANTGTTATTGGTTCTTAGATTTTAAAATAGATTTTAAAATCATGTGTTATTCAATAATAATGATTTGATTAAGGATTTGATTTAAAATTAGATTTGAGTGGATTTGTAAGTGTTTTTAACATAAAAATACAAAGGACCAAATATTGAATCCAATCTCCATATTTCAATAGATTTGTATTATTGATGTTCCCAGTCTCTTTTATACCTCAAGTCATACGTCTTGAACATATTCCATTAACCATTATAAAGAAGTACTATTTAACAAAGATATGAGATGTTTGCTATGTAAATTAAAAAATAACGATATGTAAAAATGAAAACACACAAAAAGAAAAACTTGACATAAAGACGTTTGATTTAAAACCACTATGTTCAGCATACATTTCTTATTTTTTCGAAAGTTTGAAAGGTTTTATTTTATTTTAAAATTTTCCAGTCTCCAATTTATATAATTTAATATTTTCCACTTTCTATCGTATGTGCCTTCATCATTTATATATAATCTCTAATAACACATACACAAGTACAAACACTTCAAACTCCAAAGTAAAAGCATGATAAAACAGATGTTGTAGTTTTAATATATATATATATATATATATATATATTGGTTACAAATCTGAACTTAGTGAAAATCCATTTGATTATCCACTTATTTTGATTTTGAAATCTGTATATTTGATTCTGAAATTTATTTGTTTGATTTTAAAATCAATGGATTTATCACAATTTCTAAATCTAAAATGTATTTCTAAATCAACTAAAATACTGTAACCAATAACCCCTACTAAAGGGCACGTTGATTATCAGTAACATCATCACATAGTTTGATGTCAACTCCACCACCGATTGGCTTATTATTTTATGTGTTTCTTCTTGCTATAAATAGTAGGGTTGGACATCATTACCCATTACTCGCCTTAAATTCGATATTCAACTCGTACCCGCCTTAAAAATTTAAGTATTCGGTATTGACAAGGCAAGTAACAAGGCGACAATTTTCATTACTTGCAAGACTAAGTCAAATATCAAGTATCATTATTATTTTTTGTACTTGACACTTTACAACCCGTTACTTGCTCTATTACTTTCTATTTGTTACATGATTTATTAATTATTTATTCATATTTGTCTTTTATTTTACTTGTATTTAGGATTGGACACAAATATTCATTACACTTCTTATATTTGTTACTTGTTTCGTATCCATCTTGATTTTTAAATACTCATCATCATCTAGTCAAGTATTACATAGAAACAAGTATTAAAAGTCTCGTTATATGATTTGTTATTACATGTTACTTATTTAGAGAAGACATTTTTGTTATAGGTAAAATTACCACTGTGTATATTTTGTAATATGCATATTTTTTTATTTGTCTTCTTTATAATGTGCCAAAAATATTCCGTTTAAAGTAATTTAGATGCTGTTATAAGTAGAATAAACAAAATAAACTTTCGTGTCTATTTCTAACAGAGAATTATTTAGTAAGTAGTTCTTAAATATTTTGAAAAAACTCGTAAATAGCTTACAAGTATTCATAAATAGCAAGTAATAGAGTAAGGCAAGTAATTTGCAAGGCATTCATTTTTGATCAAGTACTCGAAATAGCAAGTACTCGTTTTTAACAAATCAAATACAAGTCAAAATTTTTATTATTCGTACAAGCCAAGTCAAGTCGCAAGTAAACGGAAAATAACAAGTAATCGCCTTGTGCCCAGCCCTAATAAATACCCATCACTCTTATAACTTGATGGAACAACAACAGCAATAATTAAAGTATTATCTTTCTCTCACACTTTATCTCTCTCATAATGTTCTTAAAACACAAAGCAAGATATATATATATATATATATATATATTTATTTCTTATCTTATTCACAATACATTATCAGCACGAGAAACTCTATCGGACTTTGAAAAGGTCCAACGTTACAATTGACTCTGATCATACCATTCCTAGAAATTGATTTGACCGTGCTCTCCGACTAGCCAATTTATAATTTATGTTTTCAACAATTTTAATTATGTTAATTTTATTATTGTTTCCGAGTAAGAGATCAAAATATAGATCAAAATAGATGACTATGCCACCTCGGATCTTAATAAAAAGAAAAGATAAAAAAAAATGGTAAATTAAGTCTCCTCAAACCTTGATAAAATGATCAACATGGAAAACTATGTCTCCTCGGATCATGTGAAAGGCGAAGCCTCCAATATTATTTATGCTCTTTAAATTTTCTGAAATTTATTTTATGCCTTTAAATTTAAGCGTTTAATTTCTGCATTTAAATTCTTGTCTTCATATTATATTTTATATATTATTCTATAAATATGGTTATCATGTCGAATGTGGAAAAATTCAAAAATATATGCCCTTGATAATACGAGAAATAATTATAAAACTTGGATAGTGGGTGTAGAGATGCACCTGAAAGAAAATGAACTTTTAGTTACATCGATAAGTTTAAAAACATTATAGGATGAGAAAATGATAAAGCCATGATATTTTGCACCACTTTAAAATGGTTTATAAGATGAGATGTATCATGAGACAAGATTATGAGATCTTTTAAATCTTTCAAAAGAAAGGATCTTTGAAATAAAGAAAAAAATTAAATCCTTGAAAGAAAGGAAAATTAAATCCTTGAAAAAAGGAAAGTTAAATCCTTGAAAGAAAATATTCACAAAATAGTGGAGTTGATGTAAATACTCCGTATAAACTGAAAAGAAAAAGAAAAAGAGAACTCATGTAAGAAACCTTCATGTTCGTCCTATTGAGAAAGGACGAGAGTGTAGATGCAATAGAAATTGTGGTCATGGAAGAGGACGAGGAAGAAAATTACGTCCCTATGATAGCGAAATAAAAAATTCCACGGAAATGAAAATGGTCGGGATGATAAAAAGTAAACATAAAAAGTTTGCTACAGATGCGGTATGTAAAAGGATGGGGTACACTGTTGTACCGGTCTGTATTGAAAATCAAAAAGAAAAGAGAAAGGAAGTGAGGTAAACTTCATCTTTTATGAACTCGAACCATCTTTTCATGGCTTCAATTCTCATCTTGATATATTAGATTTCTGGTTGATTCAGAAAACAAAAAGAAAAATAAAATATCAATGTGACATAATTGTTATCTTCATGAAGAAGATAAATTTTATTATTTTATCAATACATATTTTGTGAGAGCTGGATGTCAGATTTTAAGATCTAGGATAGAGATATATATTTGGAAATACTTCATCGTACATGGATTAAAGTTACGAAATATCTATCCTCTCTCAAAATATATATTATTTCTGGTAATGTATTAAATTAATAGTAGCTCTAGAAAAACTTATGTTGAAAAGATATGCATAAGAGAAGGATGGCAAAATTATAAACGGTGGTAAACATATAGTTTACTGATATATAGTCATCTAGTCCAATAATGTTATTGACATTATTGTGAAATTTGAAAACCCAAGAGTTTTTCACATATATCATGTCTTAAAGAAAATAAAGAAAGCTATCATGGGAGATAATTCATCGAAAAACAAGTTCATTGGATGTGATATCTTTAAACAGCCCCAAATCAGGATCTTACTCTAAGGATTTGAAACATATTTCATCCAAAAATGGAAAAACTGAAAATGTTATTGGTTCTAGAGTGGGATTCACATGAAATGTCATCATCTCGAGGGGGAGAATTAAAGAATCCAAGAGAGTGGAACATTGAGATGATTATGTTCTCACTCGAAAAAAAACTTGTTAAAGTAAATTCTAGTAAGATGATCCCATGATCAGGTGTAGTGCAGTTGTGCATGTAATAAAGTCATATACAATCCAAAAGGGATAAAGTATATGGAAATATGCTCGTAAGGTTGCTAGAAGCATATAAGCAGTTGATGGAATAAGATATGAGAAATGGATTACATGAAAGTCATGTATGATAGTCCATTTATAAAATGACTGCCAGACATTTTGATGAATAATGAAATCTCATATTCCAGCTAAAATGGCTCCAATAATAAAATGTGTCCCAAAAGGACGATATATGAGTCTATGGCACGCTAGAGACGTGATAGACCACTTTGGTTCCAAAGAGTCCTCGAAAAGGAGCAACTATATGAATAGAAGATGAATCTCAGGATAAGACCATCTATATGGTTAATATGTAATCAGGTACCTGAGTAAATCATTGATAATCATAAAGAGATCTCGATTAACCATATCAGTACGGATAATAAGATGGAACCAAAGAGAAAATAAATTGTCGCCAATAAATAAATAAATAAAAGCTCTATGTAGTTAAGGATCATGAATCTCCTTTTATATATGAGGGTAGAGTGAATTGATTAGCCAAGAAATGAATGAGGCAATCAAATTGATATAGAGCTCGCTAGAAAAATGAGAAATGT